GGAAAGGAGGATGGAAGAACTTATTTCTAGCAGCAGAGTGGGATGGAAGTATATATTTGATTTTATTTTTTTAATGTCATACATACAAGAATAAATTTGAAACAGAGTTTTTGAAAAAAATCAGTAAAACATGAAAAAATCCAAGAGATTGCTGTATACGTTCGTATACCTACAAAATGATGGAGAATTTGTGTAAATTACGGAAAATCTGTACAACTTGACATGTATGTCCAGCCTAATTATGAATGACCTTGTACTGTACACAGTAAATCTTACATCACTCAAGGATCTCCTGAAACATCCATGAACCATCCACAGCATAAAGTCAAATCTATACTCAAGTTTTGACCTGAGCTTAAGTTGAGGGAAACTTCTGTTGATCTCTCTACCAAACCTTGATCAGTTGTTGAATATAAGAGAAATATTACAAAGATGAAAACTTGAACAAAACTTGTAACCTCCCAATCCGCCCTATAATAAACCAGTGCGTAGAACTTTGTATTACTAATCTTACCAAATATACTCAGACTGAATTATTTATTTCAATCTAGTTTAAGGCAGGAACATTAAAAAAATATTGCATTCATTATTATATTATTTTGTACCAACACTGACCAGGTTGGACAAATTATACAAATGTGAAATAAACAAATGTTGTCAAACTGACTTTGGACCAACAATGTAGTAAGGTTTTTTGCCACTTAAACTTAAAAAAATGTATATATTTTCCCTAAATGGAGGAACCACCATATTCAGTTAACACTGTTAAAGTTAGATGTTGAATTTCTCCTTGCAACTTATAAAACATTCCTTGTGATTGTCTCCGTGCCTCATGTCAGGCCTCATTTGTAAGCTCAACCTCGTTTCAGCCGTGAAGACATTTGCTCTTGTGTCTGTGGGCTGGCTACCATAAAAAGTAATGCTGCACTGAGCTCTGAGGAGGTGGCTGCAAGGCTGATGATCGTGTCTACAGAGGCTCACCACAACCGAACAACCACAAAGAGCTACACGAGAGCTCATCTGACACCACACTGATTACAGATGTGCTCAGGCACAAAAAAAAAATAAAAATAAAAAAACAGAAAGAAAAGAATTAAACAGTGAAAAAGGAGGACAAAAACAGACTGATAGAGCCTCAGCTTGGATACTCACTGACTGCTAAATAAACAGCATGAACACAAGCATGCTGAGAGATCAATTAATCCCATTATCATCTTCTGTCAATATTGTGTTGTAATARAGCAAAAGGAATGCATTTAAAGGAAGTAAAAGCAACAATGCCGAAAGAGCTCAAGTTGGAAAACATCAAAGGAATGATCAGTGTGAAAGTCTGCCTTGTCTTTGACAGCTTATGGCTAAGAAAAGCACAGCAACTGATGCACCACAGAGCACTGAGCCAAAGACATATGCTGTGGAAAGTAGGACAAAATACAAAGTGCTAAGGCAATTATCTGTAGATTTCCCAGAGCATACAATATACCCTAACAGCAACCATGTGAGTCTCACCATCTCAACCATTTTAAGACTTTTCAAGTAGCAGCCACCGTATGTCATAAATTACACTACTGGTGGGGATTACATGAGTATAAATTGGCCACACTTCCACACAGCCACACAGTCCCTAGGCCTAAAATGGATGCTGAACTTGAAAAGCAACTAAGCAGAGCCCAGCTGGCCAGAGCTGTGCTGCAAAAGGCCCAGGAGAGAGCCGCCTCTAGAAATATCATCCGTGCTCTCAGACATGAATCAAGAAGCTGGCCCACGGGGAGCCCAAGCAAAAAGGACCGGACTCCGAAGCCTGGCTCCTCTCACTGTTCCCAAGATGGCAGCAATCAATAGATGGATGAAACAATTGCTTGGTTCATTTACTGGAGTTAGAGCTTGTTGCCACCGTTCATCAGCCTCTCGAAGAAAAGTCATTCCTGCTAAGCCGATAAGTCCGTATCATTGGTCCCACATGTACTTGTCTTAAATACATTCAGTAATACCATTGGTTGGTCAATGGTTTATCAGATCCTGGTGAGTTTAGGCAAAGAACAAAAAAATAAATAAATAAATACAGAAGCTCTTACCATGACCCCCACGTGTAAGAAAGGGCATCCGGTTGATGGCAATGGGCGCAGTGCCATGTTTGTTATGGAAGTGGTGGACGTGGTGGGTGGTGCTGAGGGAGGAGGAAACTCTGGCAGCCACAGCTGGGCATGGGAACACCAGCAGGGCCAGAGACAGCACCAGCCTGAACAGGAAGGCCGGACTGGCCCAAACCACCGGCGATGCCGCCGCTGGCCTGGACCCCAGTAGCAGCCCTTCGTCCACCTCCACTTCCACCTCCTGCTCCATGGGGGCGGGGCCTGAAAGGAACGAAAAGCCTCTCCCCCTCATGCGACACAAACAGGAAGTGAACATCTCAAATGAATCCAGGGCCCATGATCCCAAGTTTTCCAGCCCAGGAAGGAAAAAAAAAATTAAACGAATAAAATAAGCCAAGGGAGACGAAGAAGAAGAAAAAAAAAAAACAGATCCTTGATTGAAAATCCCAAAAACGATCAGTGAAGAAAAAAATCAAGATCCCTTTTAAAAGGAAAGACCAACCAAAAAAAATCTCCAGCAGTCAAGTGTTGATATCCAAAAGCTCCTTAATCCTTCAAAATCAAATTCCAATTCCTCATATAGAACCCTTTAATTTGAAACCTAAGCTTTTTGTTTAACAAAAAACAACAAAAACAAAAACTTTCTCAGCACCTAAGAACTTAGCAGCAATAATTTCACAATCGCAAGGCTTTATCTTAGCTCTTTGAAAAATATCCTGCGCAGGGGCTCTTTGCGTTAATTGTTCGACAGGATTTCCTTTTTCAGAGGGCTTCTCCACCCATACGCCAGGCTCCCATCATGAAGCAACAGACTCCTGCCATCCCTCCCAGGCTGTTTTGGGCACAACTTAAACAAAAAAGTGGACGACTGAGAACATAGATCAGAATGTGCAAAAAGGGAGAGGCAAACAAACAAGAGCGGGAACAACAGTGCTGCGATGAAGGAGCAGTCAAATCCTGTTTTGGGGCTTCGGAAACCTAAAGGAGGTCTCAAATGGCAGCTGAGAGAAGGAACAGAATAAAGAAAAGAATAAAGGTCTTCAAGGTGGGGGAAAAAGGGAACATCAAAAAGGAGGAGAAAAAAATATTGGTTATTTCCAAGTGCTGAAATCCGTCCCGTTTATTCTGACAAAACAAATCAATATGGGTCATACAACGCAGAGCAGCACCAAGAAGACAGCTTAACAGGATTTAAACCATAACCAAAGCATTAGAGTGCTTGGCGTTCAGTTCATGGTAACAGTCCTCCCATTCCAAGACTGGCAAACAAGCTCCGTCTGACTTGGTGGTRCTGAGAATCCGTTTTCCACTCGCTCTTCAAACACTGCCTTCCAAGGGGACTGGATGGGAAGAAACCACSGGTTCCTCCGATGATGCTCCAACACAGAGTCCTGCTGCTGCTGGCTGCCTGAGACAGTCTGACGATGCTGCTGCTGCTGCTGCTGCCTTCRCTGTGAAATTCATGCTAATTGAATCAGAAGCTGCAGCAATGAGCACATCCTTCCTGCCCGCGCAGTTCTCCCGTCTCCTTTCCCTTCGATCGAGTCAGCCGGCTCTGCCCACCCCACCTCCACCCCAAACTGCATACGGCTTCGTAACGGGCAACGAGAGAGAGAGAGAGAGAGAGAGAGAGAGAGAGAGAGAGAGAGAGAGAGAGAGAGAGAGAGAGAGAGAGAGAGAGAGAGAAAGAAGGGGGTGAAAAAAGAAGAAAAGAAAGAGAAAAACAAAACTAGCTGACGAAAAAAGAGAAGCTWCAGCAAAGGGGTAGAAACTGAYGAGAAAAGGTGGACACACTTGGATCCTTTGAATGCAAAGACTGTGATACACGGGGCAGAGCGGAGACAGAGAGAGAGTGTTTGGTTGTCTGGTTGAAGCGGAGAGAGAGAGAGAGAGAGAGAGAGAGAGAGAGAGAGAGAGAGAGAGAGAGAGAGAGAGAGAGAGAGAGAGAGAAAGAAGAAGCTTTGCTTTGGAATG